TATATATATATCTGCTACCTGGCATTACATTTTGTGACACACATGGCCCAGCCCAACAAGGTCTCAATTTATGTCAGATCCAGTCCTCATAACAAATGAGTTCGAATGTGTTTGTGTCCTTTATAAAGTTTATATATATATATATATATATATATATATCTGCTACCTGGCATTACATTTTGTGACACACATGGCCCAGCCCAACAAGGTCTCAATTTATGTCAGATCCAGTCCTCATAACAAATGAGTTCGACACCCCTGCTGTATAGTAACCAATAGCCAGTTTGGTGAATCAATAACCCTGTCCTGCTTTGGTGCAGAATTACATGGTGTGTCCACTGCACGCATGCGGCAGATTTGAACAAGCCTCTGTGATTACACAGCAGGTGGGTTAGGGGTTGGCTTTGAAAGACACAAGTGAGGTTTGGTATTGCCTGTTGGCACTTTCCCAGTGGATGGAGATTGTGGAAGGCCAGTGTGTCAGCACTCCCAGGTCTAATGCAGGGTTCCCCAACACGGTGCCCATGGGGCCCATGGTGCTCGCCAGAACCTTGCCTGGTTCCCACCAGTGCTTGTAGAAAGCGGGCGGGGTCAGGTCAGGCTTCTGAGTGACCCGGGGAGGTTTGATTGGCTGGGCAGATTTTTAAAAACGTTACTTCGGCAGTAGCTGCCACCACAGCACCAAAAGATCATAATCGCTGTGTGGCCAGGTTCCTCTCCTCCGGTGGCCATTTTGAAGCAGCTTCTGTGTGACTTCACCTGCCGTGTGATGTCGGAATTGCAAAGAGGCCCGCAAGCACCGAGAGGCTGGGGACCAGTGTTCCCTCTAGGCTGAGTGAGTGTGAGCTAGCTCGTAGTTTTTTAGCCTCCGGCTCACACATTTGTGTCTCAGCTCAGGAAGGAGAGCTCCGGAACAAACTGATTTATGCAGTAGCCAAATCGCTCGCTCACAACTTTAATGTCTGTAGCTCGTAAAGTAGGATTTTTGCTCACAAGACTCCACATTGCAGTGGGGACCCCGGTCCGGTGCTTTGGGGCTTCCCTGCGTGGGGGGCAGGGGGGGCAGGCTGGATCTCAGTGGATGGCTTGCGACGGCCCTCCTAGGTTGGAGGTGGCCGGAGACTTGATGGCAGCTGATGATTCGGTCTTCTGGCGACGGTCTTGATCCAGTGGAGTTTTCTGACAGAGCTTTTGTCTCCGATGTAGGTCCTGATATCTGCGGCCCCGGCACCAAGAAAGTGCACGTGATCTTCAACTACAAAGGCAAAAATGTCTTGATCAATAAGGACATCCGTTGTAAAGTGAGTCTCTGATGGAAAGTCTTCCCTAACAGTGCTTGGAGCTTCCTGGTGTTCTTGGAGGGTGGAAATGGCTCTTGGGGGGGGAAGGGGGGGATCGGTCGCTCATCTCGTAACTAAGCCGGGTGTTGTGCTTTGTTTGGCAGGATGACGAATTCAGCCATCTCTACACCCTCATTGTACGGCCCGACAACACGTACGAGGTGAAGATCGACAACAGCAAAGTGGAGTCTGGGAACTTGGAGGACGACTGGGATTTCCTGCCCCCCAAGAAAATCAAAGACCCAGAGGCGAAGAAGCCAGACGACTGGGATGAAAGGGCAAAGATAGACGACCCAGAGGACACAAAGCCCGAGGTTAGTGGAGGGCCGTGCTGGTGATTCGGGGTCGCTCACAGACATGGCACTTCAGGGAGAACTTAACGGGAAAATGTTTATGCCCCAGGAAGCTTGTCGGGTGGGGGGAGTCAACAGAGGCCCAGCGTCCACAATGTCTGCTGTGGGTAGATGCGGAAGATCACCATTGTAAATTCTGTCCAAGAAACAACTTTATTTTTTTACAATTAACATTTTATTGAGAAATAAGAGAAGAAGAAGAAGAAGAGATTGGATTTATACCCCGCCCTTCACTACCCAAAGGAGTCTCAGAGCGGCTTACGAACGCCTTTCGCTTCCCCTCCCCACAACAGACACCCTGTGAGGTGGGTGGGGCTGAGAGAACTCTGACAGAAACTGCTCTTTCAGGAACAGCTGTGCCAGAGCTTGTGACTGACCCAAGGTCACATTAGCAGGTGCAAGTGGAGGAGTGGGGAATCAAACCCGGTTCTCCCAGATTAGAGTCCGCACACTTAACCACTACACCAAACTGGCGACACCAAGCGACACCATACATACAGTGTGATCGAATAGAATAGAATACATACAATGCGTAAAACAAAACACAGAACAACGTGCCAGGTGACTGGGTAAGTAAACAGTAATCAGTCTAACTGATCTGTATTGAATTAAAGCTGTGTAATCACTTTGTAAGACATAAAAACATTATATTCCAAGATCAACTACCAGATGGGGAATTTCCCCTTGAGACAGCAAACATTCCAGTAGAGATAGCCATATAGAGGAGAAACAAGACTGTCTAGAGGGCTTAAGAATGGTATCCATAAGAACACAAGAGACGCCAATGTTGGATCAGGCCAAAGGCCCATCCAGTCCAACACTCTGTGTCACACAGTGGCCAGAAATACCAGTGCCATCAGGAGGTCCAGCAGTGGGGCCAGGGCACTAGGAGCCCTCCCACTGTTGCCCCCCCAAAGCACCAAGAATACAGAGCATCCCTTGCCCCAGAGTTCCTATCTATACCTTGTGGCTAATAGACACTGATGGACTTCAGCTCGATATGTTTATCCAATTCCCTCTTGTAAGAACATAACAGAGGCCCATTTTGGATCACGCCAGTGGCCCATCCAGTCTAGCACCCTGTGTCACACAGTGGCCAAAAATATCAGGTGCCCTCAGGAGGTCCGTTCTAACCCGACCGCTCAGCCCACGAGTGCCCACGAGTTCTTCTCTTGTGAGAAAGGGAGAAAGGTACCTCTTTCTTGACCTGCTCTATCCCAGGCATAATCTTATAAACGTCGATCATGTCACCCCTCAGCCGTCGTTTCTCCAAGCTAAAGAGCCCCTTTCTTCATAGGGAAAGTGTGCCAACCCTTTTATCATTCTAGTTGCCCTTTATCAGCACTTTTCCCAATGCTATAATATCCTTTTTGAGGTGTGGTGACCAGAACTGCACACAGTATTCCAAATGAAGTCGCACCATCCATTTATAGAGTGGCCTTATGAGATTATCTATCTGTGAGCTTCACCATGATAGATATGTAATTTCCAAAGTTTTTGATGCCATGGTGAGATTGTAGGTGGTTGTGATGACTTCTGGGCTAGGGCAATAGTGTTTCTTGCTGCGTACATTAATAGAGACACCCTTTCTCTTATTGAATAAGTGCACGTCAAGGATTTCCAGTCTCCCAAGAGCAAATGCTCTGGCGTGAGAGTAAGGTCCAGATTTGTAATGGATTTAACCTTTATTAGAACAGACTCCCAAAAGGGGGCGATCTTGGGGCAGGAGATCCAACAATGAAGGCAACTTCCTATTTTCCCACAATTTTTCCAACGTTTTGGGCTAATTGCTTTGGAAGTGTGAGCTCACTTTTTAGGGGTGAGATACCAGTGCGAAATTAATTTAAAGGAGTTCATGCATACATCTATGATTTTGAAACGGCGATGTGGCCCCAACGGAGGACCCAGTATCATCTGATAGTCCGCGGCTACATTCTTTATTCCAAACAGATTGATACATTAGATGTTTCCTTAAGTCTTGCCCCAAAAGAATTCCATAAATGTGTGAAACTAAGCCTTTTTTTGGATTGAAATGATACTTTTAGAACTTCACAGTTTCTCTAACATACTTTTCCATTTTCTCGACAGGACTGGGATAAACCAGAGCATATTCCCGATCCTGACGCCAAGAAGCCCGAGGACTGGGATGAAGAGATGGATGGGGAGTGGGAACCGCCAGTAATCCAGAATCCAGAGTACAAGGTAACAGGGGCTCTGGTTGTGTCGTTCGGTGCATCAATTAAAGCTCTTTCAGTGACCTAAGTTCCCCCTGTGACAGACTTTTTAATAGAACTGGAAGACAAAAACTGGAGGCAGCACTCATCTTTACTTCTTTTGGGGCATGTATGTGTGTTTGTCAGAAATAGGCTTTTTCAGCATTGTTTGTAGGCAAATTTCTGTGCAAAAATAGATGAAAAGGTCCTCAATTGGATGATAAATGCCGTAGCCTCTGGGAAATCTCTGGTGCAGGAAGGGCCTTGGTCTTGAGTTGTCATAAGCTTGACTACTCGTGATCTGTAGTTCCTGAATTTGGGTTCAAACTTAAATGTAGAACTTAACACTTTGCCTATTAGTAGCAAGGTTAAAATTGGAAGTGTTTTGGTTAGTAGCGGTTAGATGAGCTGACAGTGCGGGGTGTGTGCAAGAATTCACTTGGCTGTCGGATGTCTTGGTAAGAGAAGAACAGGTGTCCTTGTACTTCTGAGCATCTGTGTAGAATGGGATGCCTGTTACGAAGAGCAGCGAAGACAACTTGCAATGAATTATCTGTTTTAGCACAGATAAAAGGAAGTACTACTTCATTAGAACAGATAAAAGGAAGTCCTTCACTCAAAGAGTGATTAACACGCGGAATTCACTGCCACAGGAAGTGGTGGCGGCTACAAGCAGGGACGGTTTCAAGAGGGAATTAGATCAACAGATGGAGCAGAGGTCCCTCGGTGGCTCTTAGCCACAAGGGATAGATAGGAACTCTCGGTCTGGGGCAAGGGATGCTCTGTAGTCTTGGTGCTTGGGGGGGGGGCAACAGTGGGAGGGCTTCTAGTGCCCTGGCCCCACTGCTGGACCTCCTGATGGCACCTGGTATTTCTGGCCACTGTGTGACACAGAGTGTTGGACTGGATGGGCCACTGGCCTGATCCAACACTGGCTTCTCTGATGTTCTTACGATCTTAAATGCGAAAAAGAAACGATAGCGAAGTTGTGACCCGTCAGGCTAAAATAATTAAGTTTAAGAAGAGGTCAAGAGGAAACAGATCACTTTTACGCGAAGAGTTGTGTTGGGGCAGTTTTGAAGTGTGATTCTTCCTGGGTTGAAGGTGAGGCTACGGGAACCGTGTCTTGGCCAGAATTGAACAGACTGGATATCAGAAGTGTGGAGCTGAGCTAGGGAATAGGACGGAATAGGGGGACGATCCGTGGGCTTTGCTGCTGATGGGAAACTAAGACCAGTCCAAAAAGGTGCACTGCAGATAAATGGGAACCTATGTGGACGAAAGCTGTATGAGAAGAGGGGCTGTAGTAAGGGGGTGGTGGCGGCAAGGTTGAGTGGACATACTAGTTGGAACTGTCCTGATGTCTTCACCAATGCTCTCTCCAAGCTGCGGAGTCCCGTGAGCAAAA